CCGACAAAAAAAACAAAAGCAGAATCTTTAAAGCAAACAAAAGGTAGAAGGTCAGAACAAGACATGCAAACAGAGAGAAGGGAAACACAACCGGGCCTGTGAGGAGGTCAAGGGAATCAGAACGCAGACAGGGAATGGAACTGGACACTTGTGTTTCACAATGTAGGTCAATAGCAACCCGCCTTGATATGCCAATGACAAGTGACCCGATGCCACTGACACACACAACGTTGCTACTGCGTCACTTCGAAGCCCAGTGGGCCGCCTGGTCCCAAAGAGGGAAATAGGGAGCAGTTGGGCTAGTGGGAGCAAAATGGCCACTATTTGATTTGAAGTATTACACAGAAAATATGCAGAGAGACATTAAATATACTGACATTCGTGCTCCCCAGAAGATGTCCCTGTTTACAAGGTATGATTATGTTACTGGGACAGCGTTTAGGATGGATCCATGGAGGGGACCGAACAACTAGGCCTCTTTGTGGTTTGAAAGCAAACACATCGATCACGGGAGTTTATGATTGCAGTGATATCTGTTAAATAATATTATATTTGTTCTGGGTGAAAACCACTGAGACCATCTCAGTATGTTTAGGTGTAAACGTCTCATTCTGATGTAACCAAAACATTTCAAAACAATTATTTCTTCCTTTCTTGCTGCTATACAGCGTTCTTAAGGAAGCCGGTAGCCATGACATGAGCTGTTCATGTTCATGCTGCCGAGGGGAGTAGCCTTCCTCCACCAGCACCTCCAACAACAAACCCTGAGCAGGGTGCACGGGCAAAGCAGGACCACAGCAGCGTCCACCGCTCGTCATCGAGTGTGAAGTACGAGGGAAACACCTCTGGTTGAAACTTTCGTCCTTTGCTTGATGCATCACACTAATTCTGACCGAATCAAGAAGTATGACATTCAGCGCGGGTTAAAAGACTTTGGGCGGATCTTACTGGTGTCCAACGACAAAAGTGTGTGTGTCTGTGTGTGTGTGTGTGTGTGCAGTTGGAGGGGGACCAGAGGAGAAGCAGAAAGCACCCGGAGGACACTGCGAGGGGTGGATTGGCCCCCGCCGGGCCCAGGCCTCAGGACGGATAGATGGAGGGATTGTGTTGACAAGGGGGAAAGACGAAGAGGAGGAGGAGGAGGAGAGGCAGCCACACGTTCAGCAGGGAGGCTGAGAGCATCAGCCAGAAACTCATCAAAACGGTGGAAACACCTCCAACAACCCAACAACAGCAGGGCCTGTGTGTGAATTTGTGTGTGTGTGTGTGTGTGTGGACGCTCATGTTCTTAGGCAGCCAACAGTGTGTGTGTGTGTGTGTGTGTGTTCGGGGATGTTTTGGGGTGATGGATGGGAGGGTTGAGGGAGGCTTGGTTCCACCATTGTTCATTAGTAAACTACACAGTTGTCCTTCCTAATTGCTCAGCCTTCATGTCAGACTGCGATGAATGATTACCACCAGCGCTGACCTACTCCTTCCATCATCCAAGCCTCACCTCATCATCTCCCACAGGGACGACTGTGTGCATACTTCAACAGTCTACTCTGTGTCTGAGAAGAAGTGGAAACACATTCTCCTTCACAAAATGGGAATGGCAACGTTTTCAATTAGATCCTTTGTGGCTACACGTGATGTCATATATTATCTGACACAACGGACATTTGTTGTCCAGCAAACAACCTCCAGTCAGCTGGGCATGGTGGTTGGTATGGATACTCATGCTTTTGGTCTCCATCAGGCCGAGCATTCTCTCTCCAAACACCACGATGCTCTGGGTTCCCCTCTCAGGTGTCAGTCTTCCACCTGTCAGGGCCAACACTCAGTTTCCGAACGTACGTGTTCACAGTTTCTGCTTCTTGTATGCATTTAGTGTCTTTTAAAAATACATCTCGACAGAGGTTGATCTGATTGGGAGAGACTTTCTCTATCTGGCCTTTGACAACAGTCAAAGTCTTTTCGATCCTACGGCTTCAATCCAGCGGATCATGAATGATCGTTGTCACTGTCTAATGTAGATCCAAGCACGCTACGTCTACTGGATATGCAGTCGTGTTCATTTTTAAATACAAAAAATGCTTGAAATATGTGTTGTAACACAAAGAAGCAGAGGCCATTTATATTGTTGCATTGTATTTAATTATTTCAACTTGAAGTAACACAAAAGGAAGCTCAGTGGATCAGCGGTTAAACTGGGCCGGTTCAGTGAGACAGAGAGTTTCTGACCAGCATTTCTTGTTCCTCTTTACTTCCATCAGAAAGGGAAGTGGGTACAAATGTAGTCATTTGCTCCAACGAGCCAAGATAGGTGAGGTCACCAGACAGGTGCGTGTCATTTTAATACCCTCATTCATCAATTTGGAGGACAAAAGATTAGAGACACCTGTGTGAATGAAGCTGCAGAGCTGTAGCACAGCTACAGCTACTAAATACGAGCTCCAAAATGCTCAAGAAGGTTCATCAGAAACGCTCTGTCCAGGTGTAAAGTGTGTGTGTGCTCTTGTATCCCACTGAGTACAAGAGCACAGCTTGACTTCTGTCTCCTGTCAGTGGTAACGTGCAGTCACATGACATGTTATGCACTTTGACTGCATCTCTGACTGTCGTTATCTTCTCTCATTTGCATTCTCTTAGCAGGAATTATTCAACATGTGTTCCTTAAACAGACAATTGATCGTGACTGTCACTCACTCAATACTAGTTTTGGAGGTTAGAAAGCAAATGAAAAATTGAAATATAAAGGCTGCAGTACATCCAAGGATGCAACTTACTTTATTTTGCACATTGCATGTGTGTGTGTTTGCTGATATTCATGCCTTGCCCTCACTCCTTCCTAACAATGATAAAGTAGACGTCATGGACGCTGCCCTACCCCCACTGCCCAGGCATCTGCCTCCTCTGCCTCTGCCATCGGTACTGGATCAGGTTCAGATCTCCCAGGCTTCAGGGGGGGGGGAGGGTCCAATGGGTTTAAGCTTGAAACCAGTATCAGGGCCACATTGGCTGGAGGGAAGTGAGGTTGGGAGGCCGCCATGTCCACATGGGTAATGATGAAGGGGTGGATGAAGGCGAGGAGGTGAGACATAAGGTAACGTTGGGATCCAGTCACATTGGCGGCCAAATGCTGCCGTCAGTCTGCTTCCACACAAAACACAAGAAAATCACATCCACAGCTGGAAGGTGTGTGTGTTGGGGGGCAGGGGGGGATCTCACATCCCACATAGGGAAGGCAGCCATCTCCCCTGCTGAATCCACCCTTCTGATCTCATCTGTCCATCAGACGTCCACATCCACAGGGGCTGCAGTAACAACACAGCCCACTGCATGTCTGACACTGTTACTACCAGTGACACTGCATGCAGCAAGCCGCATCGCATCATAATGCATAGAAGTGAAAGGATGACTTTTGTTTCAATCTAGACCTAAAGTCAAATGATCCAGTGCAAAAAATATTAGCGCAAACAGGAAAACCTTTAATTTTATGGGGTTATGGTTTTGTTGTCTTTTTTCCCTCCAATAATCATCAGGTTGACCTTTGCTGCCCCACATTGGTGAACCATTGATTCATGGATTAGTCCTACAGTAGATAAATTAACTGTTTATCCCTTTTCTAGTCCACTCAAAGCTGCTTAACACTACATGTCATCATTCACACCCTGATGACGGGAGCTACCGTACACAGTGACACCTGCCCATCAGCAACTAACATTCACACAGCATAGAGCTACAGGGGCAATGTTGGGTTTAGTCTTTATACACCGACATGCGCGTTAGCGAAGCTGGGCTTCAAACCGCCAGCCTTCTGATGGAAGGACAACGGGTTCTCCACTGCGCCTTAGTAGCCCACTAGTTGGTGCGTCTGGCGCTGGATGCAGTGGAACAAGTCATGGTTCTTTGGCCCACTTGAACTATCCTGTGTCCCCTTAAGACGACGCCTTACAGGTGGCAAACGTTTCTTGGCTACAAGTGTTCACGTTTGGATCTGAAGCAGCAGGCCACTGTCCCCCCTGTCAGACAGTAGACCCGGAGGGGACCTGAGCCGAACCAGCAACTGTTACAAATATCATTCTCTTATGATGATTAGGAGACTGTTCAACTCTAATAAACATGTGACTTGTTGTTAGACCTCCAAGTCGGGTCCTTCCTGCGTGTTGAGAAAAAGGTCCGTACTATCGCCAAATGGGCAACAATGTATAGCAGACCCCTGATAATCCGCATAGTGCTTCTTACAGACACACCTCTGTGTTTGCTGCTTTCACTCTGCTCAACGTCTCCCTGCTTCTCAGCTCATTAATCCAGATGGAACTTGGCTGAGTTCATGGCTGCTACCTCTGTCAGGGTAATGACACTAACACACACACCTCCGAGGAACATCCCACCATGCATCACTTTAAACATTAAGTGATGATGGAACGCCGGCAAACAGGGGTTTGCAACGCAGACGCACACACACGCACACAGGAGTCCAGCGTGATTCTTGTAGGGAGAGGAGGGGGTTATGGTGGGGGGCTTCAGGGGGCTTGGGGCTGGGGGGGGGCACTTCTCTTCATTTCTTGGTGATTCACGATTGAAGTGGGCTTGCAAAATTGCTTTATGGAAAGTGGCGAGCGGCTCGGCGGGAACATTAGGCGGGAAGCAGCGGGGAGGCCGGCGTTTCATTAAGGAGCTCCACTCTGCCTTTATTACCCGGATTTAGAGTTTTATGGTTATCATTATTTGGGATAGAAATATTATTCGCATATATCTGCTCGTCAGCTGTTTGGCTTGGGGACTCTGGGACTTTGCGTCTGTGTGACTGAATCCATGAGCGCTTTCTGAGCTGATCTGTACAAGCTCAGCCGTTATTCCTCCTGTGAGTGTGTGAGCGCTCAGATCGTTGTCACGCTATGTGCTCATAAAGGCCCAGACTTGTCCGCGGCGAGGAGGGAGCGGGCGGCGTTGGCGAGGCAGTGCTGGGTGATTTCTGACTGGAACATCGTCTGAGTCTCCAGCAGAAATCCGTCCTGTCGATCACACACACAAATACAAGCGTCACCATCGGCCACCAGCAATGATGCCAAAAACCCCACTATAGATACGAAATGAACCCTGCTTCTCTCTTCGTTTTGATAATAATACTTGATATTCTCTCTCGGCCTCCTTGATTTGTGGTACACGTCATGAAAGGGTCAAACTCAGGGGGGAGAACGTTGGAAGGGTTCTTTGTCCAAGAAAAGTGCGGCAGGTAAAAGTTGAAGTCGGGTAGTGGACCTTTAGAAAAAGCCACCCGCCCCACAACCCTTTTATCCTTTGTCACGGTTAGGGTTAGGGTTGGGGTTAGGGTTAGGGTTAGGGGTTAGGGTTAGGGTTAGGGGTTAGGGTTAGGGGTTAGGGGTTAGGAGTCAGCAACCCAAACCTGCAATGCAACAATTTCAACCCCATTGCAGCCTGCATTAACAACAATGAACAATTAAAAATGTGTGAGGCCCCACAGAGTTCCTGCTCCCTTTTAGGTACAGAAAACCTATATGAGTAGCTTATATTGGCGCTACAGGTCAGTAAAAGACAACGACGTGCCGCGAAATCAGAATGCAAACAAAAGCTTAAGCTGAAGTGAAGATGTTGCCCTCTATCAGTTCAATAATATAAATAAATAGAATAAAACAAAGATGACCGAAAGTCCCACCTTAAGTGCATCTCAGCCAAGGCGGTTGCCGGCGGCGGTGCTAAGCTCCTTCGCCTTAATCATCAGCTAGCTGGCAACTTGGCTTTTGAGGGTTTTATTTAAGTTATTCAGGAACAAACTCCTCACACTGCATCTGCATACTGCAGCTTGAAGCGCTAATTCTGACTTCAGACTCATCATCACACACCGGCTCTCTGTGGTTTTGTGCATTCACTGCTGTTTATGTTAAATGGCGGAATAAAGCGTTGCTCTACGTCGTTTAGGTGCAGTCTTATTGGAGTGGTAGGAAACAGGAGCACAGGTAGTACTGGTATAACATTTACATCAGGAAGCTTGGTCAGACTTTCTTGCGCCGCACATGAGCAGGACGCTTTTCATCTGAACTGTGTGCACTTGTGGCTCGTGTTTCATGATTTGTATCATGTATGATATGTTAGTTAGTTATAAATACCAGGGGGGGGGGGTGGTCGCTGCACAGGGCAAAGAATTGCTTGGTTGACGGATGGAAAAGTGGACGAGCGCAGGCAATTGGGAGAGAAGTATATTCAAAATACCTTTTAAAAAAAAAACTCTTTCTTTGCAGGCCGTGATCCCAGTGGCGACGGACGACACACACTTCTATAGTTTATAGTTGCCTCCATCTGCTCGTCTTTAGTTACTGACACTCTAAAAAGCTTGACAAGGTGTCCGTCGAGGTAAACTTACTCACCGCCGAGAATCAATACAGTGAATGACTTAGAAAGGCCGCTGCACAATTAACAAACTAAATGTGGATGGGAGGACGAGAGGGTCAGTGCGCGCAGTACAAGAGAAGAGGAGACGTGACAGAAGGCACGACTGAGCGGGTGGAGAAGGAAGGAAGGAGCAGAGGACAGACAGCTCGCTGCTGCTCGCCAGATTCACTGATGCACTTTCTCGCCTCATAAATTATCACTACGGTAACGGGTGGGATGCTGTCAGGGAAGCCCAGCATCCCAAAAAGCAACAGCCAGCCGGCCTCTGGCACCGCTGTCATCGCTCTGCTTTGAAATAGATTATTACACCAAAACCAAACAGGAATTGAAAGTCCATTTATGATAATCAAAATGGCTTTTTGTGTGGCTCCAAATAGTGAAAAACAAGTTTATCCAACGCCTGTCAATCAAGAAACCTCTTTCCTCCATATTCTCTATACTGGAATATATTTTATGTTTCCAGGATAATATTTAGAAAAAAGTAACTAAAGAATGTGAAAGGCGTCATACGTGTGGAGCGTCCACTTCCTGTTAACGGCTGTTGAGTTTTGGCAAACTACTTGGTGCAGTTATTACGTAACGTGCTTCAGTCGGTGTGAGTTTGAAGCATCCATCAACCACTCCACACTTTGTCACCTTTAACACGACCTCGTCCTCCTTCTGGAACCTCTGGCTGTGAAGAGCCAGAAGAAGAAAACATCTGTGGATGGAATCAATGTCGCTGCTGAATCATACATCTGAATGTTCCTGTAAATGTTGAGATAATTGTTCTCTCCTCACCAGCAAGTCTGATAATCACGTTGGTGGGATAAATGTGTCACTTTTGTTTATGCACAAACTGACCAGGTTAACTACAGCACAACATTTCACTGACGCTATAAGACGAACAAACAGGAACAATCCCAACTTCATGCCGGATGTTGTCTGTTCTGGTTCTGTCAACAAACCAACAACCACCCAAATAAACGGACCAGCAGCTTTAGAGTCACAATGGACCAGAAGAAACTTCAGATTTAACCAAACAAGCAAGCAGCGACGCCCCAACGGGACAAGTGAAGCCGTAACAATACTTTCTAACAGCTCATTTAAATATGGAGCCGTCCGACGAAACACTAACACCACATTGTAGTTGCTCCTGGCCTGTTGGGCCCGTGTGGCCTGAAAAGGAAACAAAGTCTGTTACAACAGACGTCAGTGACGGAGCGACCTCGGCGGGGGTCCCAACCCACATGTTGAAGAACACAGTCACGTTGCCTTTGTGTCGTTAATGATGGTTTGCTGCTAACAGCTGCAATGAAACAAACCAACTTTGAAGCTGCCGCTTCTCTTTTCTCCCCCTCCTCCCCCCTCCCTCCTCCCTCTCCTCCCTCCTCTCTCCTCCCTCCTCCCTGCCCCTCCCTCCCCCTCCTCCCTCCTCCCCTCTGCAGCAGAGCAGTTAATAAAGAGATTGATTATCAGCCTGTCAGGAAGTGACAGTTGGACAGGGCGGCTCTGCGTGAATGACAGAGGGCACGCTCACCACGCAGCAGCCCGCCTCTCACACACACACACACACACACACACACACACACACACACCTTTGCCAACACCGGGGGTAGATGAGGTGGAGGAGGAGGAGGTCGGGGGCTGGATGGGTGAGAGGCAGGCGTGTGGAGAACAGCAATGCAACCTTCTGCTGGTGTGTGTGTGTGTGTGTGTGTGTGTGTGTAGGGGTGGTGTTTGTGGTGGTGCAGCGGGGAGGTCAGAGTTCATAGCCAATGCCTTCTGGAGAGACAGGAAGAGGGTTGCCAATGACGCCACACACACACGAGCCAAAGATGTCAAAAGAGTCAAGAACACACAGTCCCCCTTTGTCTCTCTCACACACACACACACACACACACACACACAAATACACAAAGAAGACGAGACGAACCCACGACAGACTCACACCCTGTGCCAGCACATACCGGGTTGGTAAATGACACTTAGAAACTCAAGGTAGAGTTAAGATGATCCGACACTTAGTAGTAACCAGGGTGGAAGTGTAGCGCCGCCCTGAAGCTTACGCTGCTGTTTGGTCTGTTTGACTCTAAACGGACCCACGTTACTAAACAAACATCACAACAAACAACTAAAGAGCATAAATAGTGTTTACTGAGGGAATAAATCAAGAGGGAAGTAGAGTCATTTCCTCATCGACGATCAGGCCTCCTGGTGGACATGAGCCTCTCCTGGTCCACTCACACCAAACCCCCAGAGACCTCTGAGCGCCGAGGGAGGGTCCTGTTGGCCCAACATGTCTCCCTTCACAACGTGGAGGGACGGACATCTGGAAAGCCAAATAACCGGTCCTACCTGAGCCCGACAGACCAGGAGACCAGTAGGTCCTCAGAAGGGAGGCGTCCCCATCATTCTATTCTACTCAAATCATTTCGTTTTCTGAGCTTACTGTTCTCACATGACCAAAAATGAGAAACTCTTCCATGGGGAAAAACCAGAAGAAGCCCAGAGGAGGATCGCTCTGCAGGACGGACCACAGTGACGTGTGCAGCATGAACGATGTAAAAGATGCACGACACATTCAATTCATCCAAACACAATGTGTGTCAACTCATTTCATGGTATAAGTACACAAGCACAGTTGTAAAAATTGAGGTATAAAAGAAAACCATTTACCATCCCACCTGCTAGCTGCTAAATGCTCCACTGTGTCAACAATATTTCAACATGTTTTCATAAAAAATGACTTTGTAATACTGTTATTTAATGTGAATATTTTCTTATCCTTCTAATCATTCTGAGATCGTTGAAGAGAAGCTAGTGTCAGGTTCATGTAATAATATTTCCAGGGCAAAGGTTAGAAAATGTTTCAATGAGCATATTACATAAATATTAACTAAGCTTTAAAAATCTAATTCACCATTTGATATTTTGAGCTTGTGTTTAACATTTTTTTAATCTCCCTCCGACAGCCTTGCTGCTGAATTCCAGCGGACCATTTTAAAAAGTATACATATAAATATATACGTATACATATAAATATATACGTGTATCTTTGGGACATCTGGTAAAATATGGTCATTGTTTGATAAATTAACGATTGCTTGTTGTGTGTAGAATTGCTCCACATCTCATGGGAATGGCTTCCTAAGAGAGAGGTGCTTACTGATCCCACACACACACACGCACACGCACACACACACACATGCACGCGCACGCTGCCTAATCCACACTAGCGCTCTGCAGCCCCCGATCGGCCGGTGGAGCGATCGATACCTGCAGACTGAGGAGGTGGACGCTGAGCCTCGTATCGAGATGCTTCTTTCCCTCCCCATCGTTCACACCGAGGGAGAGGAAATACGAGTGGGGGGGTGTTGGGGGGAGGAGGGGGGAGGAGGAGACGCAGATGGACAAGTGCTTTTACAGCTGAGTCTGTCTCTGGCTCAGTGCCACAGACACAGACTCTCTTTGTTTGCCCGGATACTAAACTAATAGAGATAAAGGCAGGTTCCTGCTGGCCCCGAATTACCAAATCATTAAGGAATATAATCACACACACACACACACACACACGCACACACACACACACACACACACACACACACACACACACACACACACA